CCTCCCCCCTCTCTTCCCGGGTGGCATAGCGCCACTGAGCCGCAACAGGGCCCCTTATTATCGGAGGCACCCGCTCATCAGACTAACTCCCGGAACGGCTGCCCGGAGCAGCGTGTCCCGCGCGGAGCAGCGCGGAGCTCGCCAGTATTTCGAGGGTTTCGTTTTTATTTCGGATGGCGGGGGACTTTTGTGTCCCACAGCCATGTCAGTCGATTAGAGAGGGCAGCACAGCGAGCCACAACGACGGAGGATACCCGAGAGCATGGATGGGGTACTCGGCGGGGTCGGGGAAAGGGGGGGGGGTTAAGGGGAGGGTGGTAAAGAGAAAACGCAAACCCCCCCGCATACCCACGCGTGCGACCAAGAGAGGACGCGACCACGGCCCGCCGCCGCCGGCCACGAGGTCACGGGCGAGCAGGAGGGTCGCGCGGAGTGACCCCGCCACGCCCGCCGCGCCCGCGCCGGGCCCCACCCCGCCAGCCAATGCCGAGCGGAAGCTTCCTTTATCCCAGGACAGTGATTGGTCGAAGGATTGGCGCGGCTCGCGGGCGCATCAGGTCGGGGAGGGGAGGAGGGGGGGGGGGGCTATCGTCACGTCACATAACTAGAGTGCCCCGCGTCGTGAGAAGAGCGACGATACGTCCTCCAGGCCGAGTCTTATTGGACGAAAGAGGAGAAGGACTGATCACTCCCGCTCTCTACCGAGCCCCCGCCGGGCAAAAGAAAAGCCGTATCCCCCCGCCCCGGCGTTCGCACCGCTGCCTACCTCCCAGGCTGCTGTGGTGCGCTGTCCGGAGGGGGGGGGGATACAGGGTGATACAGCTTTTTCGTCTGGCGGCGGCGCGGCGCAGTGATCTGTCCTTCTCCTTTTTCGTCCAAGACCGAGTGAACTCCGTAGCGGGGCGTGGCGGGGCGTGGCGGGGCGTGGCGGGGCGTGGCGAGGCTCGCATAGCCCTGCGTTATCACTGCACTGCCAACATATAACGCTCCGCCGCGGCTCCGCGCCGCTCCGGCCGTCTCTCTCCCACAGCCAGAAGGCCGTTCTTTGGAGCGTGTCGCGCCCGGAAGCCCCCCTTTTGCCCCGCTCTCCCCCTTTCTCTCCCCCCCTCTCCCCTCGCCGCTCTCGCTCCCCTCTCCCCCTCTCTCTCTCCCTCTCACCGACATCCACTTTCGCTCTCACTTCGCCCTTTCATTATGAATTCTCCATCACGCAGACTCTATCCATACATAGCTATGCGAGCTCCACACTACAACTAGTTGGGGTGAAAAAAAAAAAAAACACGACATCCTGGAAACCGAACATAGATTTGGAAAGTTTGTCGTTTTCACCGTGGGGCCTCTGCATTTCCCCAATACGCCGCCCCCGCGCGGCCAGGGGTAGGGAGGGAGAGAGGGAGGGAGGGAGAGGGGCTGTTTTGTAAACAGCCGCGGTAAACTGATCGGAGGGTTCAAAACGCGAGGGCCGCGTTCGTCGCGTCCGCGGAGCGCCTCTGCTCCGCCTCGGGGCGGCCTTGGAAGAGACCCTGGACGCCTCCCCCCTCCCCCCTCTCCCTCACGGCTCTCCGCGCCTGACTGCTCTCCCCTACCTCCCCCCCTCCCCTTTCCTAACTCCCTTCCTTTCCTCTCCTTTCCGTGCGGCGGAACGTTCATTAATTAACGGCCATGCACTCCGTGTGAATCGGACGCGGTGCGACGGCGCCGCGCCTTTGGGCGGGAGGGGGGGGGGGGACATAGCATAGCATGGAGACCGAAGGATGGGAGACGCAGAAATATAATTTGGCCAAGTACTTTTGCAAAAAAAAAAAAAAAATAGATTTGCAGCCTCTTTTGCTTGGATCAAAAACTTTCGTAACCATGCAAAACTAGTTTTCCTTTTAAACTGATAAAAACAAAAATGGCACAGGAATATTTCGTAAATCTAAGCAAAATTTTCTGGGTCCATGCTGATTTTTCTGGATCCAAAATATTATTTCTCTCACCCTGGGGAAGGAGATTTTTTTGATTCCGGTGTAGACTTTGGGAGGCTGCGGCTGGACCACACGCTCCCCCGCAGCGGCGCCACACTCTCTCCCGCGCGTCGCTCGCGTGCCAGCGCCCTCTGTCCCTCCCGGTTCTATTGGGGACAGTTCCCGTTGCAAACGACGAGATATCATCAATTTTCGTCGTTGTCGCTCGCGGGAGAGAGCGGAGCGGTTCTCTATGTGTGCGAGTCTGTCCGTCTCTCTCACACTCGTGCGAGCCCGCCACACTGCCCGCCCGCCATGCCGGGGGCGCGTCGCGGCGCGTCGCGTCGGGCCGGCGGCCTGCTCGTGGGGGCCCCGGAGCCGCGAGGGGGCCGGCCGGCCCACAGTATGGCGAGCGGGTGGTCGGTCAGCCATACTGGGTACCACAGCACGCTGCCCAGCCAGGTACCCGCGTGGCGTGGCGTGGCGTGGCGCGCCGCGGTCTCCCCGGAAGCGAGTTCACTGACACGAATCGTATGGCGCGCTCCGCGGGACCGCCAACTTGTGAAACCCCCCCGCAGCAGCCAGCCAGCCAGCCAGCCAGCCCGGGCCACATGCCGCCCGACGCCGCGCTCTCGCATCGGAATGAAGAGGAAAAGAGTTATGACGGAAACGACGCGTGGAACATCGGCCGGCTCGCCGGGCGGGGAGTCGAATACCCTCACTCACTCACCACGTCGTCGTCGAAGCCCTGCAGCTGCTGGTCCGGCAGCCGCTCGTAGACGACGCGCCCAATGCCCTGGTTGCAGGTGGTCTGGGCTGCGGACAGAAAAGTGGCACGTCAGCGGCACATCAACAGCCTTCAAACTAGCGCGTTAGTCAAAATAAAACATTTTCAAATATTTCAAGAGTTAAAAAAAAACAAAAAACAGTAAACAAACTATCCACTACATGATGAGCGTTTAAATTAAATCGATGAAACCGACGAGTGTGAGTCAGAGCGAGGGAGATTGAGAGAAAGGGATGGAAGGGGGGGAGGGGGCGGGGCAGGACGCACCTAAGGTGACGCGGCGGGTGCTTGTCGCGGCGTGTGTGATCTGGAGCGTGCACTTGCACCGTCACCGCGAAACAGCTATCGGCATTGGGCCAGCAGACAAAAGTGGGACATCGGGGTGGGCGGGCGGCCTGCGCGTCCACGCCACGCCACGCCACGCCACGCCACGCGACGCACTGCCCTCGCCCATGTGCTGCATGACTCAAGGTAAATGCTTGTTCCTACGAAACACCGCCGCGGTGGCCCAGGGCAGGGGCAGGGGGGAAGTCATAGGGGCTGGGCGGCACTAACGTAACGCATTTAGAAACGCTGAAAAACGACAGTTAATTTTCAACCTTTTAAGCGGTACTAAAGCGTTTTTAGCTTCTGTAGAGCGTTTTCCATACGAAACACGCGTTTCGGAATCTAAAAACGCTTTAAAAACGCTTGAAAAGTAGAAAATTAATTTTCGATTTTAAGCGTTTCTTTACGTTACGTTACGACGCCCTGCTGGGCGGAAGTTCACCTACATTCAGCGGGGACAAAGTTCCCTATGTGGAAGGCCGAAAGGTAAGGGCCTCGAAATGATATCCTTTCATTTTAAAAGCTGCCCTGGCCATTTCCTTTTCGCGTTGGGGCGCGCGCCATGAGGACGCACCATGGGGATTCACAATGAATGAATGAAACGAGTGCAATGAGAGTGAATGAGCAGCAACACTGTCCGCGTGAGGATCACGCGGGTCGCGGCCACAGCAGCAGCAGCGGGTTTGCGAAGGCCGTGGCGGTCGTTCGCACTCGTTCGCACATCCCATCCCCGGTGCAGTAAAACAGGAACGCGCGCGGCCTCGGCCTCCGCGCCAGGGCAACGCCAGGGCAGCGCCGGGGCAGTACGATGCTCTACGAAAATGACTCCCCGCCGTGGTCGGGGTGGGAGCGCCACGCCATCCGGCGAGCGGAGATGGGATCGAGCCGATATGCAGATCGGCGATGGCCTTCTTGTCGGCCGCCGCGCCGGCCCGCCGGCCCGGGGTTCCCAGTGCAAAGCAATTAGAGCCCCATCCGCACCGGCCAGTCCAAGTGTGCGAGACTTTAGCGCCCTCTCCTGTTCGGAAAAATAGACAAAGTGTAGAGCAACGACAATTTGTCTAGTTTTAGGAGCAAATCTGCATCTGGTCTGATAGATAAGCACAGAAAAGTTCCCAAATCTAATGACCCTCTTTGACATGTTTCGTGTCTGTCTGGTACATCGGACGGAAGTGCCAAAAAATGACATTGGGACGTCAGCTTCAGACACAAGTTGACTTCTTAGGATGGCTTTGGAAACGTCTTATGCACAGAACGGCAGTCATATAGTGAGAAGGAGGTCATGGCGGAGAGTCGACCTATCCCTTTGTTCCGCTTCATGGCAGAATTATGACCTCGCCCCGCCTCGCCCTCGTCCACTTGGAAAGGGCTATTCTAAATATTCGTGCACCTTTTTGCACCTATTTCTTCGTCAATTCGAACACTTTTGTGCTCGCTTTTGTGCATTCATTTTGGCAGAAACGGCATGCATTCTTGCGCACAAATTTGACCGAAACAAAACGTGGGTATGTCTCGGCCCGAACGTTTTCACAAAAGCATACAAATACATTTAGCTTGGAAGGGCCGCACACAAATTCCTCTTTCTTTCTTCGTGTCGATTATCTTTTCTTTCGTCTTCTTTACGGAACTTTTCAGCTCAGCAGGGCTGAGAAACCCTTTCCATCAGTTCGTTACGATAAAGTTTCCGTACCACGGCAAATAAACGTCACCAAGGAGATACTTACATCATCATATGGGCATCCCAAATAAAGTGCCGTGTGTTGTGTAAACCAAAAGAAAATGTATAATCTGTTCCCGAACCGTGGCGGCCTGTGCGTGCAGTGCAGCGCAGCGCGGCATACCCGCGGAGGTGGCAGGTGTCTTGGTCGCGCGCGCCCACCGTCTCAAGGATAGGCCACCCGCCCGCATGGCGGCGGGCGCCGTGCCTACCCGCCGGGGGCGCAGCGCCTTGGGAGGAGCGGGCAGAACCCGCGGGCCCCCGGGCCCCGGGCCCCGCGCCCCCCACCGGATCCAGGACCGGCGTGCCGGCCGCCAGCAGGCCGCATCTCGTTTGAACAGCCCACGCCCTTGTATTTCGTTAAACTAAAAATCGGAATTTGACTCTTCTGGTTTGGTCAAAGGTGTGCCCCCCCCCCTCCTGAATCCTTCTCTCCCCCATAAGGCACACTAAGTAAAATTAAATGGTGAGTAGCGGGGAACGACATCCGGAAAAAATATGCTTTGGGTTCTCCACACGCTGCTGGCCGCTGGACTCGAGAATCATGACTTCCGGCGCCGGCATACATACGGGTTCCGCGTTTTACATACAGCAAATTACAGAACTTCGGAAAAAGAAAAAAAACAACAACAGAGCAACCAAATTGTGAGGCGACGGCTCTCTTTCGTCTTGATTGTAAAAAGGAAAACAATTCTCTGTAACTCACCATTGGTCAACATCTTGAGGACGGTGAGCACAGTTATAGCCTGAACCATGCTGGGCAGGTAGACTTTTCTTCTCATTTTGACTGAAGGCGATGGCACTGTGCTGGCCTGTTGCGACGCATGACCCTCCGACCGCACTGCGAAGCACTAGGTCCCTGCAGGGGAATGCAGAGGGGTGCGCTCCCGTTAGCGAAGGCCGAGTCGACAAGAGTTGCACGCCTCCTGGGTGTGGTGTTTCAGGGCGGGTGCAACTCTGCAACTCCAGTCGCGCCCCAGAGCACCTTTAATTGAACATGATTTGATGTGCGAGGGATGGTTGGAAAAGGCGGCTGGGCAGCTCAGCTCCGCCGGGGAAAATTTTTAAGGGCGGTCGAAAATGAAACAAGCCCCTCCCAAACCGCACTGAGAGAACGGAAACGAGGAAACTGATAGCTACAGAGCTGCTCTGGGGGGAAGCCCGCACAACACGAAATTAATCCACTTGCTGCTGGAGCACCAACGCGCACGCACACACGCACGCACGCGCGCGCGCACACACTCACACGCACGCACGCACACACACACAAACGTGCACACAGGAACAACTCTGTTCGACGCACTCGGCTCAGCCCGCGTCGTCCTCTCTTTGACGCGTTCAGACTCCAACTGGACCCGCGCTCGCACAGGTGGCGCGGGGTGAGGGTAGGGGTACTGGCCACCAGGGGCCGGTCCGGTCCGGGCGATCAGCACAAAGCGCGGACCTGGACCTCACGCTCGGGTGCTTACGGCACGCCGCCCCCTCCCGCTCTCCTCCCCCACGTGACCGGATGTGCCAGCGCCGCGGCCGCAGCGGTACCGTCACGTCGTCTCTATGTGTCCGTGTGTAGTACCCAACTTTCGAAAAGCGAAAGGGATAGGACCATAGGAGAAGAGGGGGGGGGGGGGCAATAAAGTTATTGCGAGATATTTGTTATATGAGACCGAGTGAGTCACATCATTGTAAAATTGTAACCGCGAATTGGAACTATTGTGGATGGATAAAGAATGAGTCGACTTCACCAAAACTAGTTATTGTGTCAATTACAGTATTGTCCATGGCCAGCCTTCTGCTTGAAAAAAAAAAA